ACTTATTACAAATAATGTAACCAGTTATACTTACAATTTAGTAACTTCTTTCTATAAGAGTTATTTCTGATTTGTCTCTAGTTACCAAAAGTGATGTCATATAAACCTTTCAACATGAATATCTCGAATGTCACATCCAATCAAAAACTTTTTTGGGTTTGTTTTCAACAAGGAATCATATGGTACGATTATGATTTGGTCAGTTCTCATCACTCTGTATATAACAGTTGGAAAAATAAATGCAATGGTCTGGACAGGTCTGAACCCTTACTAAAATTGGGCTGCAATTTGAAAAAATTGTAGGTCTATAAATTCCAACTGTCGTCTGTCTGTCCTTCCTTAATCTTGAGAATGGAGTTAGATTGATGAAAATCATGACTGGATATGGAAAGTTTGGAGCAGGAGGCCTTGATTAACTATGTAAGAACTTCTGGTTTGCACCAACCAAAAAGCCATGTTATTTCAATTCAAAAATTTTCCCCTGAAAGGAGTTAGATAGATGATTGGCATGACTCTATTGCTAGCAGGAAAGTATGATGTACAGGGGCAAGACACTACTAATTTGAGGTGAAAAGCATATATTTTAAATTAAATAAATTAAAAATTAATATGATTAAAAATTGCAGCCTGGCATTGTGATGATGTCACAATAAAATAATTGCTCATTTGCATTAAAATATTTTTGAAAGAAAAAATAAAGAAACTAAAAATAATTTTTTTGTATGAAAAAAACAATGCAAATGTATAAACAATAGAAGAATGTATTCTAAGATCAACCATTCCTGGTTGAGATTGAATTAAACATTGATTTTTACCTCTCCCCTGATCTAAGTTGAGATCTCATTACACTTAGCAATGAGGGACTATCACTTAGAAATTGAGAATGAGAAAAAGTGATCAATTAGAGTTGGTGATCAGGGACAGAAAGTAATAATAATCCTGAATTTCAAGGACATGACAGCTGCTTCTGAAATTCCAAGTGTTGAACCAATTGTTGTGTGTGTGTGTCTGTCTATCTCATGTCTATCTTTGTCTTTGTTTCTCTTCCTCGGATCGACATTTTCCCATTACCTGAAGTTGACCATATTGTCCCAGAGATGTTGAGAAAACACTCACTCATGAACCAGAGATACTCATTTGTTTGGAAATCTTACAAAATTTCCATGATCTTGGAAGCCCAAAGTCAGTCAAAGTTGTAAGCTCCTTTTGTGTTAAATAAACAGTTTCTTGTAACCAGAGAGTCTGTCTCAGTGCTGATCATATCCACATTTGACCATTCATCCATCCCAACCATCATGCCCTCATTGGCAATAAAAAAAATTTATTTATTTATTCATCTAAAGTGCTTATGAGGATTATTTCTCTGTCTCAACTAGATTTTTAAACTTTTGTCAGTTTACAATGATTGTAGTTTTGTAGTTACAGAATTGATGTTAAACATGAAAAGAATTATACTAATAAATGTTTATCTACCAGGATGGGAAAACTCTGAGGGATTAATTAACAAACTACAATGGATTATAAATGCTTTTAAATCATCGAATATAATCATTGCCGGCGATTTTAATGCTCACTCCCCTGCTTGGGGAGGTGACAAACTGGATGAGCGTGGGACCATTCTGGAAGAGTTTATTGGACAAAATAACTTATATATCTTAAATAACCCGTTATCTCCTCCAACCTTCACCTCACACCGAGGTGAAAGTTGGATAGATATTGCCATCTGCAACGAAAGCATGTCCCCCAAAATTACTAACTGGATTGTTCAAGAAGAGGACAGCCTTACTAATCACGCTCTAATATCCTTTGAAATTATAATTGACAACTCTGGCATCAATCAAACATTTAATGTGCGCACAAAATATAAACTTAACCAAGCGGACTGGATTGCAATGAAGGATTACCTTGAAATAAATTGGATTACCAACTACTCTATAGATCAAGACATTGCTACTAGTCAAATTGATAAAAATATAGATTTACTACAACAAGCTTGTAATAATTTTATTCCAAAATGCACAACAGTTAGGAAATCGGTACCATGGTGGTCACAAGAATTAGAAGAGTTGCGTAAGAAAACAAGGAAAATTAGAAAACTGTACCAGCGTTGCAGAAATGATCAATTACGTACTGTACGAAGAAATGAGTATCTTCGCAGTCAAAAAATATACAAGGAACTAATTAAAAAAGAGAAAACACGCAGTTGGCAGAATTTTTGCACCATCACCTCAAAGAACCCATGGGGATATATTACAAAATTATGCAGCAATAAGTTACGGAAAACTACAATAATGACTACCTCATTGGAAAATCGAACTGAACCACGGACACTTATAGAAGAACTGTCTTCACAGCTAGACACATATTGCCCTGAAGATGACCCTAGTACAGACAATGAATTGCAAAAAGCTATTCGAATAACAATAAATGATAAATATGAAGCAGAAGACATGCCTCCCATTGCCGACATGGAGATCAGGCTAGCATTCAGTAATCTAAAAGTAGGGACGGCCCCAGGAATGGACGAGATAACACCGGAATTAGCCAAGAAGCTATGGTTTCTTATCCCACGGCTCCTTACTAATTTATATAATGTCTGTTTAAGAAATGCCATCTTTCCAAAAGCATGGAAAACAGCTAAAATAATACCAGTTCCAAAACCCGGTGCACCTAACAGTGCAAGACCAATCTCATTAATATCAGTTATGGGGAAAATACTGGAAAAAATCATAACCAATAGGCTTTCCTGGTACGTGGAACATAATAATAGTCTGAACAATAAACAATACGGTTTCCGACCTCAAATGTCTGCAGAAGACGCTATAGAATCTACAGTTAGTAAAGTTAAACAGCTACTGAATGAATATAAATACGTAATAGGGGTCAGCCTTGACATTTCTAAGGCATTCGATAGTGCCTGGTGGCCCCTATTACTGTTTCAATTACGCAAGATAAAATGTCCCAATAATATATATAAACTACTACAAGACTACCTAAGGAACCGAACAGCCATTCTCCAATATGGACAACATCAGGTCTTTAAGAACATAACTAAAGGTTGTCCACAAGGATCGGTATGTGGCCCAATATTATGGAACATCATGTTCGATGCATTTTTACAAGAAAACTTTGATTATATGGGTTGTATTGCGTATGCAGATGACGTAATACTACTTACAGGTGGTCAATCCAGAGCAGATTTGGAAAATAAAAGTAATAATATGCTAAGCAAAGTCTTTGAATGGGGACAAAATTATAAGTTAGAATTTAATCCGAAAAAGACCCAGGCAATTGTATTTAATAGACCAGGTGGAGCGAATCTTTATCTACGACCACCCAGCATCAAAATGAATGGTAATACTGTAAAAGTCAGCAAAACTCTAAAATATCTCGGAGTAATTTTAGACTGTCGTCTAAATTGGGATAAACATATTGAACATATAACTAATCGAACGGGCCTTATCCTCAACTCATTTTCTCAAGTAGCCAAACGAGATTGGGGACTTTCGACTGGAGCCATGTCTACCATATACGACAGTTTATATCTCCCAATAATATCATATGCATGCGGAACTTGGGGTTGGGCCACGGAAAAAGTACATTCTAAAAGAAGGTTAATATCATCGCAAAGAAGGGCTTTATTAATAATAACCAAAGCATTCCGCACCGTAAGTAACGTCTGCCTCCAAGTAATTGCCAAGAAACCTCCCCTAGACTTACATATTAGGCAAAAACGGAAACTACAACAAATTAAATGGGGTACAAATATTCAAGTTGACTCCATAAATATCCAACATGATGACATTGAATGGCCTTTTTGTTTTCGAGAAACAAACAACTATATCATCCCTCTGGAATGTAATAACATACAAACTCACAATACGGATATGGATATCTTCACAGACGGCTCAAAGCATGATGGAATGGTAGGATCTTCGTATGTTGTATATATCAATAACATTGAAGCGTATAATAAAGTTTTTAGACTACATGAAAATTGTACTATATTCCAAGCGGAACTATATGCAATCAAGATGGCTATTACATGGATAAAAGAAACCCAAAATAATGCTTACATACATTTGTACACTGACTCCTATTCAGCTTATAATATAATTTTTAGCTCCAAACTACATCCCTTAGTTGAAGAGATTAGAAACTTACTACGAATCTCTACGTGTACTATTAAAATCCTTTGGGTTAAAGCACATCAAGGAGTCACCGGTAATGAAAGGGCGGATATCTTAGCGAAGCAAGCTGCGGAAAACACGAATCTATCAATTGAATATAACAAACTTAGTATGAAGACACTAAAGCGCTTGATATGGGAGGAAACTTTTATGAAGTGGCAAAACGATTGGAATGAAAATAACTCCCATATAACGTACAAATTTATTCCGAACTTAAAACAATTTTATAATTTAAAGTGGTTCTCCCCAAACTACAATACGACACAAGTGCTCACTAATCATGGCAAATTTGCTTCTTATTTGACACGATTTACTAATAGAGGGAATGACTTATGTCCCACATGTTCCATAACTGATGGATCGGAACATTACCTCTATCACTGTGTTATGTTTACTAGAGAAAGATTAGAATTGAGACTTCTTATGGAGGAACGAGGCATAATATGGCCAGGTAACCTATCCGATATTTGGACTGATGAAAACATTTATAAAGCATTTACCAAACTTGCAAATAGCATCAATACTATCAATAGTCAAATTATTAATAACTAACCCTGTTCGTCTTTGCTTTGTTGGTTCTTTTTGACTAATATATATGCTTATTGTGTCTTGGGTCATATAGATATATCACAAACAATGTCTTACACACTATTTGGGAAACCTATTAAAAATATAATATATGATATATAATTTAATTATTGATAAGTTTCTAATAAAATAAGAGTAATTTATCGAGTTTTGGGGTTACCAGGTCTGCTACAAAATAAATATTTATTAATTATTGATATATTCTTTATATTCATGTTTAAGGAGACGATTTAGCCTATTACAGTGAGGTCGGACAAGATATTAATTCATGCCATATGAATAGTCTACTTCTGTGGATTATATTCCTGTACAATTGTAATACTACATTGAGGACAAAAACTTGTAATACGTATCATGTTGACTGACAACGGAATTAACGCAACCTTTGCTTACTGAACAGTATGATCTACTGCCACAAATTTTGATAAATTGAGCCAGAAATCAGGACGACGAGTGTTCTCAACATTAGACCAGTTAGAACTGTTAGAACTCTGCCGACAGGTGAATAGCGACGAAGTAGGAAATTGGAATGTAAACCTAGTGTTCTGTATACACTAAAGACTCTGCACTTAAATTCAGAACATTGGTCCTACTCTGAACCAGAAACATTTTATGATATACTGCTGATGTAAGCAACCAATTTGCAACATCCATACTACGGACATTAATACATATTCTATGATTTAATGAATATCAAAATATAAATGTTTTATTACGTATTATGTGGTAATATCATATATGTTATGTGATCTCTTTTAAAAAACTGAAAACAAATAAATGTTAATTTGATAAAAAAATAACCATAAAAATGTTAAAATATAAACTAAATATTGACATAAATAATGTTTGATATAATATTATTGTAAATAGCATTATATTTCTTCTTTATTGCTGTAATATTTATTGTTTTGTTATTTACTTCTGGCTATGCTTGTTTGCGGAACCAGGAGATGTGTTGTTGAAACATCTTAATAAAATATATTGATTGATTGATTGATTGATTGACCAATACACAAACACACCCTCAAAAATACACGTATCTACTTAATGAATTGTAATATTTTGCATTTTTTGGGTTCGAGAAATCTGAAAACATAAAGGTTTGCAAAAGATTCAAATTATCAAATCTTATACCATTGCAGTAGGTAAATGCGCCAGTGAATGAACATATAGTGAGAAATTTGTTAAAATAAGCAGCACGGCAAGAAAAACCAATCGAAAGCATTGAACTACGAACTGACTTTTGTACCTGATTTATGAACGAGTATTATTTCGTTCATTTAAATTATAACTAGTAAAATGCTTAATTGTGTTCACTTTCTATGAAATATGCGTACAAAAAAACCTTATAATACAACTCGAATGTATTCATTTATTTTTGTTTTACAAAATATACTTACAATTCATCTTATTGTATGTTGAGGTTTGCTGATTGTTGAAACTTTTTGATTCTAATGAAAAAATTGCTCCTCACTTATACTTAAAGATATCGAAGAAGTGTGGTTGTAAATTATTAATATATCTTTGGTAATATTTTTATTTTACGTAAAGTCGTAATCCTCGACGTTTATTAACTAAAATGTATTGAAAGAATAATATAAATAAAGCTACTATAATTAGTAAGTATGAATGATTATCCATTGTTTTTATATATGAATTTAATAAGTATTTACATTATGATTTTATTACTTAATATCAAATACTAAACGAACAATTTATTGTAGCATATAGACATAAATTAAATATGCAATTAATAAGCGAATGTCAGAAGTTAAATGAATAAACAATGACATGGTTAGAAAATGATTTGAACCAGAAAATTATTTTGAAACTTCAAAAGTTATCATTTAATTTTATTAGTGATAAATACGCTCAATGTTTAATACAGTAGAGTGTCGTTTATCCGAAAGTCGATTATCCGAAACGTTGGTTATTCGAAAGAATTCCAGTTGGCAAGTTTAAATTTTCACAAGTGCTGTGGCGCTGAAATCTTTGGCTATATCTTGGGTTACTCCAATATTTTTTAATGTTTATGTATGTGCTTTAGCTGGCAGCACTGTCACTTTTGTGTGGTGTTTTTCTGAGGTTTGTGTTATGCTGAATCGAACGTTTTTTATACTAAATAACTTCTAATGTACAAATTTTTTTTGTTTTTATATTTTTCAATTCATTTATTTCGTTTGTAAAAAATAAAGACATAATTTCTAACGATACAATAGCCGCGATTATTATTTCAAAAAGTTTACATTAGGCTTAACATTGACGAAAATTCAACGCGAAGCAACACACAACGTATAAAAATTTCAACACTACATAGGTTAATGTATCTTTTCGTACATAATCGGTTATCCGAATATTCCCAGTCCTAATTGATTTGGATAAATGATGCTCTACTGTATATATTTTAGCTGAAACTTGTGAAAAAATTAATTTATTTATTTTCATTTTTTAATAATGTATACTTTTAATTTTTGTAAAATAAGAATTAAAAAGTAGAAAAAAACATTTTCAATTAAAAAATAGATTTTTATTACATATGTTGTACCTTGTAGTATATGCCCGAGTTTAGCGCGAATCACCTATTTATAATAAAATTCTTCTGCAATACAGATTAATAATTCGGACCATCTGATGGGATGTCATGCTAATTCTTTTGGTTAGTTAATCATTTCATAATAACAAAAATAAAAATCTCTCCCAGAAAACTAACTTTCAAAAAGGAAACGTCTGTTTTTTGTTCTCCTCGATTTTTTTTAAAATTTAACAAAATAATTAAATTATTATTTAAATCTTGTAAAAATTTTATTGAAATATCAATAATCATTCAGAATCTCACATATTTAACTATTTGTTACTTATTTAATAAATACCTATACAATGAATTGATTTTGAAAATATCTGTTTTTTGTTCAGTTCAGAATTGTTCGTAAGATTGAATATCAGAAAGAAAACAATGCTTTTTATATAATACACTTCTGGTAATAACAATTTTTTATTATTATCTGATTTTAGAAACCCAAGAAGTTCGATGTGAAAATAATTGTACAGTATTCCATTTTTTAAAAAGATTTCTTTTTCCTATCTATCCACCTTTAAATAAAAATAATTCGTTATACATTGTGAAATAATTTAATAAGTTTTGTAAATTACTATGTTCAATCCAGCCAGATATATCCGATGGTTTTCAGTCTGTAGACTTTAATTAATGAATGTTTTTCGTANAAACTTTTATTGAAATATCAATAATCATTCAGAATCTCACATATTTAACTATTTGTTACTTATTTAATAAATACCTATACAATGAATTGATTTTGAAAATATCTGTTTTTTGTTCAGTTCAGAATTGTTCGTAAGATTGAATATCAGAAAGAAAACAATGCTTTTTATATAATACACTTCTGGTAATAACAATTTTTTATTATTATCTGATTTTAGAAACCCAAGAAGTTCGATGTGAAAATAATTGTACAGTATTCCATTTTTTAAAAAGATTTCTTTTTCCTATCTATCCACCTTTAAATAAAAATAATTCGTTATACATTGTGAAATAATTTAATAAGTTTTGTAAATTACTATGTTCAATCCAGCCAGATATATCCGATGGTTTTCAGTCTGTAGACTTTAATTAATGAATGTTTTTCGTATTTAAATCAACTTGCCATTGATCTTTCACCGATAATTTATTTTTTAACAGAATCTATGTAATTATCACAACTTACTCAGCAAACGATAGACTCATGAACACCTTAAGTTGCTGAGAAAAATTTATTTAAACGTAACTAACGTTTTCGGCCAATTCGATTAGCCATCCTCAAGTTAAATAAAAATAAATAACGGTGATCTAAAAATAGAATACAGTAGACCCCCCTATAACGCTTAGATACGTTCTACGCTAATCGAATTTTACGTTGTAGAAATGATTAAATACATGAGCCAATCGCAGCCCGATAGGTGTGAACTTTGCGGAGTAAGGCTGTTTGAAAGGTTTTCTTATATAAAATTAACCGATTCTAGACTAATTCCACTCAGCATTTCCAAAACTCGTATATTTTTTGGGAATAATCTGTATAAACTATGTTATAAACAAAAAATTATAGTATTACTTACCGAGTGTGTATTGTTCGATTACGCCGTTGCTTAAAGCTGGTTTTCATCGCGGAACAGCACACGAAACGACGGCCGCAATTTCTGACAACGAATTTTTCGCATAAAAATAACTTGACCTTTGGAGACATCATTAATATAAATAATTTTTATGGCCGTTGAATAAGAAATGTTTCTTTCACAAAAAATGTATAAAATTAGTGCTGTATTAGACTTACGGTACCTAATTTACATACTGTACAGACGATAATAAACTCAACTTACTACCCTAAACTCTCCGTAGTGTGGCGCCAGGCGGCAGAAAGCATATATATATAATTATAATAAAGTTACAATAAATTAAGTTAATATATAATTATATATACAGTACCTAATTTATATATAGTACTGTACAGACGATAGCAAACTCAATTTAGCTGCTCCGTAGCGTGTCGCAGGGCGGAGGAAAGTAGTTCGGCTGCTCATCCACTATTGGTCCAGACTCTATCAATCTTGTCGCGAAACGAGTCGGCTAAGACGTTTTAGGAGATGCTTTATACGAATGTTGCTACAATTTTTTCGCTACGTTATAGGAATTGTCGTTATAGGAACGCACGTTATAGGAAGGTCGACTGTATATAAATTCAATTATAAAAAAATAAAGATTTGAAGAGAACAAATTCAAATACAAAAATCGATGCAGAAATTATAACAAAATTTATATTTACATGTATATAATAAAAAAATAATAATCAGATATAATATAACATTAGGAAATAGTACCAAAAATGTATAAATCAAAGACACAAGTTAGGAAGGATTTCTTAAAAAGCTATTTAAGTAACAAGTAAGTAGTTCCAAGTTGACAGAATTCATTCTGTGTACTTTTTATATTGATGCGACGTATCCTGTAGCTTTTCTTTATAAATTTCAATGTTTTCTCTGCTTACGTCTAATGTCAGGGAGTCCAAAGACTTAACAATATATGCTTCCTCTCATTTTGATATAGAGACTTCGGCCTGCACCGTCTAGAGGGCGTCGATTAGTGGCTTAGTGAAGCTGTGTGGAAGTTGGGCTCCTGTTTAGCGCGAAGTTTTTCTCTTTGATTTATTTTTTGGTGAAGCGTTATATATCTTCGGAACCGGGATTGAACAAGGATTCTAATAATGCCAATTTTATCGAGTTAGACGAAACATTTAAGAACTTATGGCAATTTGAACATTCGAAATTTCATGACCGTTAATCCGGAACGCAGGAACTGATCAACCAAAATAGAAGACGGCGCTATTATCCAAGTATTTGTGTGAGTAACATCTGAAAATTTGTGGTCTCTAAGATTAGTGGTTCCTCTAAAATTAAGGTTTTTAGAGTCTTAAACGGCGGGTTGCATCGGGCTTCTGACAAGCCGTCCGTAAATTATCGATAGCTTGTTTGACTGAGGTCAATAGTAACCTTCTTGGATTTTCTCGCTGTAATATTATTTAAATTAGAACGAGTTGAACATTTAAACTCTTTTTTTTTCACTGAACCTTGGATGGTCTTTATGATAACGGCAATTGACCGTTAATATTTGTTGAAAGCCGTTAAAAACGTCAAGAAGTTTAGACAAAACGTCATTAAGCGACAGGTGTATGTCTGATGACTTATTCTGATAACAGGTGTTCTTTTAAAACGTATTTTCTATTGATAAAGGTCATTGAACTGTGGATTAAACAAATAAGAATAAATAGAAACTAAAGTATATTATGAAGTTTTATCAACGGATTTAGTTTATAGACAGTACTTGGTTAATTAATTAATTAATTACTGGTACAATAATCATCGAAAATGGACGACTGAAATAGATGTAGTGGACCATTTTGTTGAGAAAGCTTACAGAATTGTAGATGAGGTGAAAGCGTATATGGCAG